TACATTAATGAACTTTTCTTAATGCACATGTAGACATGCCCCATCACATGTACATTGTTGTACAGTACAGCTAGGTTCTTCAAGACTTATGAGAGTGTTATTTCATGAAGTATTAAATATTGACCTTTAAGAAAAGCACCCAGCATTTTGTGAAAGTATTACAAAAATTGACAAGAGTATCTAGGAAGAAGCAAAAAAAATGAGGATGAAAAGTTAAAATATAGCTTCTGAATAAAGGCAACCAAAAGGATATTTTATTTCTGCATGTTTGGTAAGAATAATAATGCCACATAAAGATCTCAGGATTGAGCTTTTTAATATCCAAAAAAAAAGAAAAAAGTGACGGATTATGTTTTCAGAACTTATAACAAGAAGGTTTGGGCTGGATAAGAAAATTGGCATCTTCTCTGAGGTCACAGGAACATAAACTAAGATTCAAATTAATACTGTAGACAAATGAAATGCTAGATAGTCATATACTAAATATTAAATATGTGGCTGGATTGACTAGTAACTTAATTTCCATGTCAAATTTTATTTTTCTTTAAGTAAGTTTACTTTTCCTATTCTAAAATTAGTATCAGTGTGCGATGGCATGAATTGTTTGGGTTTGTAAATATATTCTTATATATTAACACATGCTGAACACACAATTCTTGTAGTATGTGATAAGTCAAGGCTCATGAATTGTATCAGACATTTACCTTCCTATATCCAAGAATGCCCTAATGTATTTGTCCAGGCAACTTTCTTGCATTACTCTTGCATTTCAGGACCCCCTATTTTCCAGATGGCTACAACATCTGAAATCATTGGGGCATATTCAAATCAAAGACAGGTGGTGATTGTGTATGGTTATCTACCAGTCTACTACTTCCTAGGGCTAGAACCCTCTTGGTGTTTTACTTACAGTCCTTTCTGTAAGGAGCTAAGAATATAAACCACATCAACATGTTGTATTTTGAGATGGTCTGGGAAGTGCTGAAGAAGAATAAACAAAAATTATTAAACCCACTTAACTCTTGTTCCAGTTCTACATTGATTGTATGAACAATCTCTGAACTTGCCTATAAATATAAGAGGAATACTAAATGCTTATTAACCTGAAGATGCAATTCTGACCTATCTTACCACTAATTAGGGGCTAGCACATTGCCACACGTGTCTACAAAGTCTGGAATCTAAAAACTTATTCAACCACCCAATTCTAGTTTTCAGTGCTACATGCCAGTGATGTTTAACAATGATATTCCTCAAACTTCTAACAGGCATTGGAGGGGCCACAGATTCAGCCTCTGCTTCCACTTCCACCACAGAGGAGAGTAAAGCAACCTCCACCCCAGAGCCCTTGACTACGGTACTGAATGGTAAGAAACAGGGCATTATTGGCATTCAAGAAAAATGCCAGAATGATGTATGCAATTAACTTGCTGGAAGCAGGCCTTCCGTCAAACACTCAAGTAATTTAGCTTCCATTGTAGAAAGAGGGCTTGCTTCCCACTTAGTTAAATTCTTCAGCCTTCTAACAGGTGCTACGGAGTCCACAGATTCTTTCTCTGCTCCTACCGCCACCACAAAGGACAGTGAAACAAGCAATACCCCAGAAATCTTGACCACAGGTTTGGCTGGTAAGGGACAATCAGAATATGAATGCAATCTTAGGACATTGCCAGAAAGACGCACGTAATTAACTACAAGATTCAGGAAGGAAAAGCCAGCAATCTATCAAGCAAACTAGCCAAGCTTCCATCATATATTATCTAGGAAGAAAGAAACACAAAGCTCATTCGTCTTACATTTTTTAAACAGAAGGCAAGAGCTCCCCTCCCCACCCCACCTCCCACTGGCTGGCTATATATAGGGAAGTATATACTCACATGGTCCCCTACGTTCATTAGAGGAC